GTGCCTCCCCCGCTGCTTCTGCTGGCTGGTGCCGACCCAGCCGGGCTCCTCCTCCGGTCCCCAGCAGCACGTGGGAATCAGGCTTCAGCTGCATGCTGCTCTGGATGGAACAGACCCGACTGAGTCGGCACCAGCCAGAAGTGGTGGCAGAGCCGTGTGCCGCTCGGGACTGACCAGCGCAGGTAGGGGAAAAGTGCAGCTGAGCCCCTGCTGCTCCAGCTGGGCTCATCCTGTCCAGAGCGGCACATGGCTACTCCTCTTCCCACATGCACTGCATTGGCAATGTCAAGCTGATGTGGTGCATGTGGGAACCTTGTCCCTTCCCCAGCCCTTCAGCAGGCATTAGGAATCTGCTGAGGGGCTGGGGGAGGGACAAGGGGTTGGAACGAAAGTAAACAGTATTTACTTTCGTTTCCCATCACAGCACCTCGGGCCTCAGAAAACGGCTTTGCGGGCCGCGGGAGCCCCTGGGGCCTCAGAAAACGGCTTGGCGGGCCGCGTGATGGCCTGCGGGCCAAATGTTGGACAAGCCTGTTTTAGAGGCTACAGATAAATTAAGAAAAATAATCAATTTATTTAGCAAAAATGTCATCTCTAGTTTCAAGGGAGGTGAAATAAGCCTAGCAAAGAGTTAGTAGCTTAGTAAAGAAAGTGAATGTTTATGTAAGCTTTATGGCTAAATAAAAATAGAATTAAAACCCTATGAACAGAATTTCAAAAGACCTTTTAATTTGCAAGCTCTTCCCTTCTGTTCTTGAGACACCCAGTATGGGAAGGTGATGAAGAAACCAAGCCTGGGAAAGGGGGATGAGGAATAAGGGAACTGCAGGAGAAAAAATGACTGGGAGCGAGGACACGATTGACAAGACCAAAGGAGGCAGAACTAACATGAAGATAGGTGAACAGAACTGACTGCTGGACAGAGGCTAGTGCAGAGAAGGAAACTGACAACGGGAGCCAAAACCCACATTATTCAATTTATCAGGAAATGGTGGTAACACAAAATGGGCATGTCTACACGAGATGTTGCTGCGTAGTAGTGTCCAAAAATAACTGTGCAGCGACGGGCTGCGCAGTCATTTAATACTTGGTTAAACAAGTACTAAATGACTGCCCAGTAACAACTGAACAGTCAGCCACTCATGTAAGCGCGGCCACTGCCTCACAAAAGGCTAGACAAAAATCAAGAGACAGAAAACTTAAGTACATTTCATTGTAATGATGTTGTCTCTAAAATTGGCAACGCTGCGGCACAGGGAACAAGAATTCAGACCTTTGTACATCCAACTAGAGATGTATATTTCTTAGTGGCAACTTCTTTTTAAAGAAACATTTACAAACCAAACAAAATAAATTCTACTCCAACTCCATTTACATACCTAAAACAACCTTTGCCAAATTCCCAGTATAAACAAGTCTCCCATCTCCAGACTCTTTGTGCGGAAATGTGCTATGGCCACGAACAGCCACTGCAGGAGAAAGTATCACCTACAGGATGAAAGCACCATGTGGCAAATGAAGCATTAGTGCCCATTTTCAATACATGTGAGATTAAAGAGAAATTTTCTCCTAACAGATATTTGAATGACTTGACTGTCCCACTTTCTCAAGGGAGAGGCTAAAACCTAAATGTAGCAAGACACAGAGCAAGTAAATCCAACAAATATCTAACAGATACCACTTAAATTACATTACTAATTTAATCACTCTAAAGATCTGTATAATGTACACTGCTATCTGATTTTTCCTGCTGGAACAGCAGTTCAAAACTCCTCCAAGGCCCTGATACTGTAAGAGGCTCTTAATCTCAACAGTGTACTGTGTAAATCATAGAATCATAGTAAGGGTTGGAAAGGACGTCAGGAGGTCATCTACTCCAACCCCCTGCTCACGGCAAGCCTCAACTAGATCGTCCCAGCCAAGGCTGTCTAGCTGCGTCTTAAGAACCTCCGCAGATGGAGGGTCCACAACCTCTCTAGGTAACCTGTTCCAATGCTTTACTACCCTCCTAGTGAGGAAGTTTTTTTCCTGATTTCTAACCTAAATCTCCTTTGTTGCAACTTGAGACCGTTGCTCCTTGTTCTGTCATCTGCCACCATCGAGAACAGTCTAGTTCCATCCTCTCTGGAGCCGTCCTGAAAGGTCGTGGAAAGCTGCTATTAACTCCCCACCCCTCTCCCCCTTCTCAGCCCAGTTCTAAACATCCCTAGCTCATCACAAGAACAATCCCCCTCAATCCGTTCCTGACGCTGTCTGCTCCTGAGCCTTGACTACGAGCCTCCCCTTGTTTGCCAGCTTCCTCCCAGCCCCTGCTCCCAGAGTCCTCCGTCCTCCCATCTTGGTTTTCCAATGCAGGCAAGTTTCTAGCCACAGCAATTACAGAACTGGAAAGCGAGTACAACCAACGTTATGCTTTTAAAGGACCGTGGATTATTTTCAGGCAAGTCCTTGGGATTTGGGCCATTGTTTCCGAAGGACTGCAGCTCCCAGCAAGGCAAGGGTCCTGGTCCCTGCAGGGACATCTCCCTCCCACCCCCCATCCTGGACCCTGTTCCCAGCGCCCCCCCCAAACCTTGTGGCTGTGGTGCGAGTGGAAGCATTAGGGGTTGGGGGAAAGCAGCTCCGTGCTGCAAGCCCGCACCCAGGGCCTCGCTTCTCATCTCTGCTCGGGGCAAGCGGAGCCACCTCTCGTCCCCTCCCCATGCCCGGCCCTGCACC